CTATTATGGACTCTCCTGCTGACCCATCCTCATTATTAACTTTAGCTAAAACTTCAGCTTGTGTTTCAGTTCTATTTTCCACCTGCTGTGAACTAGCTTTAGCCTCAGCCTCTGCCTGAACCTCTGGCTTCATTCCTGGACCAGATTCATCTCCAACCTTAACTTTATCTCCGAACACAACCCTGTTCTCAGGGTCAGCCATGGCTGAAGGTGTAGCCTCAGCAATGGGTTCTGGCTTAGCAGCACCCCTTACAGTTTTTTCTTCATTCCTTGTCCCTCCCCTATGGCCCTCCTTCACAGATGGAACCATATTTTCTCTCTCTATCCCAGATTGCACCTTTCCTTCCAAATCTCGTCCTCCTGGTCTTGTTTTCACTTGGGAGCCCATTCTTGTTTCAGACCCATTTTTGATGCTAGCCCTGGATCCGTTGTCATATTTGTTCCACTTTTCAGTTCTATGGTGTTCTTGTATTCCAGCCCTGATTTCAGCCTCTGACATGTTTGCACTCCCAGCTTCACTTACTAACCTTTGTCCACACCCAGATTTGCTGTCAACTAACATCAAACCCACACTCCCATTGTCAAACTTAGAAACCATTCCACCACCTACACTTTCAGGGCCAACCTTTGAGCCTGCTCTGTTCCTACCAACAACGCCCGTACCCATTCTGGGGGCAGCATTGGGAGTAGGTGAAGGTAAGGGCTGGGGGATCAAAAGGGGTGTTGTATCTAAAACCTGGTCAGGCTCTAAAAACACAGAATCTCTGTCTGAACGCAAAGGAGTTGGTCGGCCATACCCAAAGGTCCCAAAAGTTGATGTTTCCCTCTTCTCCCTTTCTCTCGCTCTCTCCCTCTCCAGCCTCCCCCTCTCCCTCTCTCTTTCCCACTCTCGCTGGGCCCATCCGCGCTCCAGCTCCCTTTCCCGTTCCCTTTCCCACTCCCTTTCTCTCTCACTGCGGCCCCATCCTCCTCCTCCTCGACCTCTCAGATCCTGCTCGAGGTCGTGAGCAGACAGTTGGACCAGTGGGGAGCAGTAGGCTGATCGTCTGAGCTCATGAGGAGGTGACAGCCTAAGGCTCTGGGTTTGAGAGTAATGCCTTGGCTGAATGACATGAGGAGGGGAACAGCGCAAACTCTGAGACTGACTGGGGCGAGGTTTGGCAGGGGAGAAAAAGACTGGAGTATGGTAACCTGAAGAAAGTGGCGAGCCAGAGAAGGGGGAAATAAGGGGGGAGGTAAGAGAGGAGGACTGGCCCCCAGGGGGAGGGTAGTGCCCTGGATTCAGATATCCCCCTCCTCTGTCCATCATTTCAGTTGTAGTAAGCT